GGACTTCTGAGCCGCTCTGGTGTGGTCATGCCTGGCTGGCGAGCGGTGCTGGGCCCCGAGCTGCAGGGGCAGAGGGGGGCTCTTGCATGGGCAGTGTGAGACGGCGCAGGATGAGGGCACTCAGCTGGGACTAGAGACACAGGCTCTGTCCCTGCTCTGCTGCCATCTCCCTGTGTGGCCATGGGCAAGTCCCTTAGCTGCCGAGTCCCCATGTCTGCAGTAGGGGGACGGCATAGCCCTGCCCCGCTGAGGGCACAGGGGTGAAGGCATCTCAGGGTGTGAGGGGCTCCGACCCGCAGCCCACTACAGACAGGGAAACATCTGCCCCAGACAGGCCTCTGGGAGGTCCCCAGCACCTGCCTCTGCCAGCCCCTGCAGCCAGGTCCCTTCTCCTCCATGGGATGTGGGCATCGCCAACCTTAGCCCAGGGCCAGTGCAGCGCAGCACTGGCTGTCCAACATGCACGGCTCTGGGGAGGCCATGAGTGCTCTTGGGGGCCTCCTTTCTATTTTCCATGGCAAATATGGGTCAGCTTCTTGCAGCCGCTGATCACACCCAAAGGGCACAGAGGGGGTCACGGGCCCCTTTACAGAGGTTGGGCAGATGTCCTTTAGCAGCCTGAGCATGGAGACTGGCTGCGTCTGCCCAAGAGCTGGCAGGTCTGGGGCTCCTTCGTCCATCATACCGGGCTGCCCAGAGCCAGCTGGCTCTGCCTGGGCCTCACGTCTCCCGCGTTTCTCCTAGTGATGGAGGTGGAGGGTTCCCCGGCTCCGAGATCTACCGCATAGTGGAGCAGATCAATGGCCACCTCAGGGACAGCATCATCAAGGTCTTGGAGGAGGAGAGGTACCTGCGCCCCGGGGCTGGCTGGTGTCTTCTGGCTTGAGGTAGCAGGGCAAACCTGCAGGGCTCAGAGGCTCCTGGAGCTTGGGAAGCCAGGGGGGCGGCGGCGGTGTGTGTGCACATGCAAAGGGGGAGCATTTTCTGCCTTTAGGCCAGGGGTTAAAGTCAATCAAAGTCTATTAGGAAGTGGAACGCAGGGTCTTATATGAGGGGTGTCACATGCCCTGACTCCGGGCTTGTGCCCATCCCAGCCTGGGCACAGCCCTCCAGCAGCTCCCCTTGGGTCTGTGCTGGCGGGGAGGGTAGAGAGCCCTGCTGGGGCTGGTGGCCGGGCTACGCGGTGGTGAACTTGCTGGGTGGTGTCTGTCTCCTTTGCCAGTGCTGTCAAGGGATGGTTCAGCCGTTACCACAGGAAGCACCAGTTTGGCAACCCCCGCAACATGGAGAGCTTCGGCAGCAAGGTGTTGAAGTATGTGAGGTCCCGGGGCACGGGGTCTACCCCCGGCGGTTCGTTGTGAAAAGGGGGTGGATTCTGCCATAAAACCGAGTATGGGGTCACAAGGTTTGGGCACCAGGCACAGATTTCCCAAGGTGCCTCCCTGCTGCTCTCCATGCCTCAGTTTCCCCTTTGGGTCTGCGGAGTGGAGGCAGGTGGGCTGCTTCAGCCAGGGGCCTCATGAGCTTGAAAGCAGCACCCCCCATGCACAAAGAGCAGGTGTCTGGGCATGGACTAGCCCCCAGCTATTGCTGCAGTGCTGGCACTGCACCCTGTCAGCTTGGGAAACCCCTTCCTGTCCCCTGTTGCTGGCAGGGGTGCTCAGGGGGTCGGAGAGGGAGTGTTAGTGTTCCCTGAGTACGTGAGCTGGGCTTGGGGGTCCCCCCAACAACTGGGGCTGGGCAGGGATGGCCGGGCGGGATCCCCTGGGGTCAGCGGTGTCCCATGGCCTTGCTGGGCCCCAGGGAGCAGCTCGCTGTGCCCCTGCCTGCAGCTCTGATGTGCAGCCCCTTCCACCCCAGGGTGCAGGAGGACTGGGAGAACCTGGTGCAGACCCTCCGCGCCCACCTGGAGAGCATCTTCTTCCCTGACCTGGTGGAGGAGTGGATGGAGGAGAACATCAACCCCTACCTGGACCGCCTGCGGGCCTTTGTTAAGGACTACCGTGAGGTCATCCGCCTCAACGCCCGGCCCAAGGTCTTGTAGGGGCCAGAGCCCAGGAGGGGCCTGCTTGGCTGCTCCTGGCACTGCGGTGGCTCCAGCCAGGGTGCATCTCCCTGCACGGGGCTGCTTGGTGCCCCCTGGGCTAGACCCCCGCACTGCCCCTCTTCCCATCGCTGCCATGGAGCAGAGCAGCCAAGAATCCCCACTAGTGTCCCTGGCTGTGGCTGCAGCAGCGGTGCCCAGGGTGGGGGACACCTCTGCTGGTCTGTGGACCATTGCTGCCATCTGGAAGCTGCCAGAGGCCACCTTGCCCAGCCAGGCTCCTGCACCAAAGGCCCTGGTGCTGGTACAAGCTGCTCCGTAGGTGCACGGGGGAAGCAGGCCCTGCGAGCTGTGGCACTTCGTGTAGTTGCAAGCGACACGTAGGAACCAGGCAGGTCTGTGCCCTTCCCCTGTGCCCCAAGGCTGAAGCTGTAGTTTCATTTCCCTCTGCCTTTCCCTGAAGCCAGCCAGCATCAGGGGTTTGGGAGCCTGCCCCCCCCCCCACACACACAGGTGTGTGAGCACCCCCTGCTGTCCCACAACAGTGCTGCACCCTCGTTCCCAGGCATCACCGAGGCTGGTGCATTGACCCAGCACAACCTCCTAGGCCGGGGCAGCGCGGGGGCCGGGGCTGGACATGGGTGTTGGTTCGTGCATGGCTCTGGGCAGAGCACATCCCAGTCCCTACGTCGGAGGTTGGAGCCGGGTGGTTTTCCGAGTGCGGCTTCTGCAAATAAAGTATTTTCTTACAAAAGACTGCGAGGCTGGAGAACCGCCAGTGCCCTGAGCCCTTCCAACCCACGGGCCCGAGGGTCGGTGCTCCCTCCTTGTGGCCCTGGGTGCAGATTCTGCCATGGGTCCTATGCTTGAAAGGTTCAAGGGGCTTTTCTCAGCGCTGGCAGGAGGCGTCTCTGCCCCAAGCGCGGCGCTGCTGGGGATTGGAGTGCCAGGCTGGGCCCCTCTTGGACTGTGCTCGGGTGAGTCTCGGGACTGAGAGGCAGTAGGGGATGGAGGTAGCCCCGAGCAGGGGGCTAGGGGCAGGGCGCCAGAGCCGGGAGGGCACTTGTCCTGCCTCTGCCTCTGCCGTGCTCCCTGCCTCGGCACTGGTCTCTGGCCTGCGTGGGCTGCTCTGGGAGGCTTTATCCAACAGAGGGTGCAGCTCTCTGCATGCGTGCACACACGTGTGCTCACTCGAGCATGCACACGGCTGCCTGCCCAGACTCTTGAGGCCTCTGGGCTGCTGTGGACGTTGGTCAAGGCTCCAGTCTTGCCACTCGGGGAACCCAAGCCTGGCTATGGCCCTCTCTCCTGCCTTGCTCAGGCAGGCCATGATATGATATTCCTGGAGCCTCTTCCCAGGAAGGCCTGGGAAGGACTGAGACCTTGAGCCTGAGTGCAGGGCTAGGCAAAGTGCCCTCTGGAGAGGTTGCTTCGGCCCAGCTGCTGCGCTGCATGGATGGAGAAGGAGATGCTCTGCCTGGCAGTGTCGCTCCTCCGTGCTGTAGCAATCCGGGGGCGTCCGTGCATGCAGCGCTGGGCTCGCGATGGGAGTGTGGGTGACAGCTGCCTGTCCAGTCCAGGCAGGAAGGGGAGACTCCCAAAAGCAGCCCAGCTGCCTGGCGGTGGTTTCCTGCTGCCGTCCTCCGATGAGCAAGGAACTTGGCTGCCATCTCGGGCGACGGCGTGTGCATGGGGATGGATCTGAGGCAGCGCAGTGGAGGATCTGAAGCAAACAGCCCTGCTTGGCTTTGGGGCTGCAGCAATGCGCAGCTGCTCCATGGGATGCCTGGGGAGAGCAGGGCTGGGAGCGCTCCCAGCGCCTGGGGGGCTGCAAGCCGCTTTGCACGAGCGTGGCACAGAAGAGGAACAGAGACTGGGAGACAACGCAGCAGGCCGCTGCGCTGAGAGCACGCCTGGGTCTGCAGTCCGGGGAACCGCAGAGACGGGCTGACAACGCGCAGGTGCCTTCCTGAGGGTGGAAAGGGGCAGCCAGGCACCGCGACATGAGCATTGCACCACGCCAGCAGGGTCACATCCTGCCCCAAGCATGAACCTAGCACCACAGCTCTTCCAGGACCCTGAGCAGAGGGAGATGCTGCTCATCAGGGACAGAAGAGCAAGGGCTGATGTACCTACGCTGGCCCTGGAGTCAGAGCAAAGCCCTCAGACCTGTCTCATGGCTCAAGCCAACTTAGTGTCTGCTTTGAGGTCTCCAAGGCAAACCCTGAAAGCCTTGCCTGTTGAAGCCACTGGGAGACTGGTTTCCAGTAGGATGCACGTGCCTACCCAGTACAAGAGCAGGGGCCAGGGCATGGTCATGCATGTACCACGCGGCGTGGGCTAGGCAGAGATGGAGAGGACCGATCCAGTCCTGCATCCTCCGATTCAGCGCGACTCCTTTTTCCTCCTGTAGAACCAGCCATGCTGCTTCCTGCCCCGGTGGTCCCTGCCGCCGGGGCCTGGGGAGACAGAGGTTGTTTCCAGCCTGAGCTCAGTGGACAACGTCGACGACGATGATCTGATCCCCGGGAACCTGAGGAGGGAAGCCGGGACGTACAGCAAAGCCCCGGGTGACTGCTGACGGAGGCAGGGCCGCAGCCAACTGAGCCGGAGCCGCGTTTGGGGTGGCACAAGCTTGCAACGGGGAGAAACGTGTAGTGGGCTTGTTCTCGCCGAAGTGTGAGCAGGCTGGAAGGGGCCGCTCCCGGCTGCCTGCCAGGGGCTGGATGCAGACCCCCTGGCACTGCGAGGCTGGTGGCCGGGGCAGTGCTGGGCTCAGAGAGACATGGCTTGGATAGGAGAGGGCGCGGGAGCATTGGCAGATGCAAGGGGCCTTGGTGAGGACGGGGAGGGATGGGCTGAGTGCCCCCACTTCCCATCCTCTCCTGCTTGACTTCCTGCCCGTGGGGGCAGCATCCTGGACTGTTATTTATCTAGTTTTGAGATGCAATAAATATTTATAATGAATTTCCCTTTGGGATATTGAATCGAAAGGGCTCGTGCATGGGGAAAGAGCCTTTTCCCCCGGTGCTGTTTGGAGCCCCGGCTTAGGCGGGAAGGCACTGCCAGCATCCAGGTTCCCCCCCTCAGAGTTCGGGCTCTTTGCTCTGCAGTTGGAAGCCGGGTCCCCTGTTGTTTACGGGCTCTTTCACCTTTGTTCGCTCTGTGCCGCTTCCAGCTCCGCTGTGTGGCAACGCTGAACCTTCACCCGCTTCTGGGGCACGCTGGTTTCTGCAACCCGTCCGGGGGGTGTAGCTGTCCCATGCAGGCGCGTGGGCCCGAGGGCCCTGCTGCGCTGAGTGCAGCATGGGCGTGGAGCACCTGACGGGCTCCCCGTGGGATTGCAGGTCAGGCAGAGAAGACGGGCACAGGCTGCATGTGTGAACACAGGGGGGCAATGGGTACAGCGAGGTGAAGTGACCCACCCAAGGCCACATGGCAAGCCAGTGGCAGAGCTCAGAGCGGCTCTCTGCATGTGCCAGGTGGACCGGGAAGCCGGCTCTCAGCGGTGGCTGCTGGGTTGGCGAGAGAGCCCCGAGGCTTGGCCGGAGCTTGCGGGGAGCCTCAGGAATGCAGAGGAGCTGGAACATGCCGGGAGGGAGCAACGCCGGGAGCAGAGCCTGGCTCGTGGGGCCAAACCCTGCCCAGCTGCTTTGGCATCGCCCAGCGGGGCCTGGGGCTTCAGGCCAGGGGCAAGGCTGGGACTGTGTGGCTGCAGGCCTGGCTTTGGGGCACGCGGCTCGAGAAGCCTGCAGAGGATGGGACAGCGTTGGCCCGGCCACACAGGGCGAGCTTGCAGCCTCAGTGGCAGGGACGTCACTCTGTCCCTAGAGACCCAGCCCCATGCCAGCACATTGCTCCTTGCCCCCGGGCATCCGCCGCGTCCCCTTGGCCTGCCGCAGGACGCAGGCTTCTGGGACGGGCCCTTCTGCCCCTGCATCGCGAGCCCAGACTGCAGAGAGGCAGGGCCAGGCCGGCTCCTGGAGTTAATAACAGGGCGGCTGTTTGCGCGGCGCGTGCGGCTCTCGCCCAGGGACGCGCGGGCTTCCAGAGATGCTCTAGGACACGGCGCGGCCGCCCGAGGGCAACTCTGGAGCCAGCCTCGCTCCGCGGCACCCCGAGCTTGGCCGGGGCGAGGGTGGCCTCGCTGAGATGCCAAGGCAGGGCCGAGCCCTTGGCGTGCCAAGCCACCGT